GAGTCGACGGCCTTGATGCCGGTCTGGAGGGGCTCGGTGACGGGCTGCCGGTCGGCGATGCCGGGGGCGATGATGTCGACCGCGCGGTTCTGCTTGGTCTCGATCGGGCCCTTGCCGTCGAGCGGCTGTCCCAGCGGGTTGACGACGCGACCGAGGAGCTCCTCGCCGACGGGGACGTCGAGCAGGCGGCCGGTGGAGACGACGGTGTCGCCCTCCTTGACGGAGAGGTAGTCGCCGTAGATGACGGCGCCGACGGTGTCGAGCTCGAGGTTGAAGACCTGGCCGTTGACCACGCCCTCGGAGGTTCGGAACTCGAGCATCTCGCCGGCCATGGCGTTGGAGAGGCCGTAGATCTGGGCGATGCCGTCGCCGACCTCGATGACGCGTCCGACGTCGGAGACCTGGAGGTCCGAGGAGTACTGGTCGATCTCGGTCTTGATGACGCTGACGATTTCGTCTGTCTTGATCTTCATCGTTGGTGTCCGATTGGAGGCACTAGGCACTTGGCACTAGGCACTAGGGAATGCGTTGTGAAGCGGACGGCTATGACTTTCGTCCCTGACTATCTCTCCGCGATCTGACGATCACGCTCGGCTTTCTCTTCTCTGGCTAGTGCCTAGTGCCAAGTGCCTAGTGCCTAGCTCCGTTCGTTCAGTCGTCTTCGACCGCCTGGTCGAAGCGTTCACGCATGAGGGCGGAGCCCTCGGTTTTGAGCAGCTCGTTCATCCGACGCAGGCGCGTCTGGAAGGAGCCGTCGATGAGCTTGTCGCCGATCTGCAGCTTCACGCCGCCGATCATCGCGGGGTCGGTGTAGGTGTGGACGACGGGCTCGCGGTCGAGCGCCTTCTGGATGCTCGCGGCGATCGTGTCGAGCTGGTCCTGCGGGATGGGGTCCTTCGTGTAGACGTCCACCTCGATGCGGCCGAACTTCTCCTGGACCATCTGCTGGTAGGCGGTGATGATCGGGAGGAAGTGGTTCAGGCGGCCCTTGCGGTTGAGCGTCATCATGAACTTGAAGAGCAGGTCGGAGACGCGGCCCTTGAAGATATTGGTGAGCGTCCGCTCGCGGTCGTCCTGGGCGATGATCCGGGAGGCGACGAACTCGCTCAGCTCGGGGTGCGCCGCGACCAGGTCGATGAGCTCGTCGAGCTCGCCCGAGACGTACTGGAGGCGGTCGCGTCCGCCCTCTTTCTCGGCGAGGTCGTAGAGGCTCTCCGCGTAGAGGCGGGCGAGCGCGTCGGGCTGTCGGTTGACGAGGGGCATGCCTTGCTTACGCCTCCGCCTTCGCGAAGTCCTCGGTGAACTCGCCCACGGCTTCCTCGACGAGGCGGCGCTGGTCGTCCACGTTGACCTCACGCTCGAGGATGCGCTGGGCGACGGCGGTCGCGATGTTCGCGGCCTCGGTGTAGATCTCGGCGAGCGCGGCCTTCTTGGCGGCCTCGATGTTGCGGCGGGCGTCGTCGCGCATCTCGCCCAGCTCGGACTCCGCCTCGGCCTTGAGGGTGGCGGCCATGCGGGCCTGCTCGGCCTTGGTCTTCTCGATCATCTCGTTCGCCTCGGCGCGGGCCGTGGCGAGCGATTTCTCGTACTCCGCCATCGCCTCCTGGGCCTTCTTGTTGGCCTCCTCGGCGGCGAAGATGTCCTTGCGGATCTTCTCTTCGCGGGCCTCGAGGCCGCCCAGGATCTTGGGCCAGGCGGTCTTGGCGAGGACGCCGAAAGCGATGAGGAAGACGAGGACCGTGATGGCGAACTGCCACGGGTTGATCTTGACGACGTCGCCTCCGCCGCCTTCCGCGGCGAGGGCGCTGCCCGTGACGGAGAGCGCGCCGAAGAGGGCGATGGCGCGTGTTGCGGTCGGCTTGAACATGCCGGCACCTCGGGTGGGAGGACGCGACGGGGTGGATCGCCCCGCGCAGGAACTCAGGGGAGAAAAATCGTGTCGGCACCGCGCGAGTCGGCGCCGACACGGTCGGTCACGAACGGGGTTGCTCAGAGCAGGGCGAGGAAGCCGCCGAGGACGGCGAAGAGGGTCGCACCCTCGACGAGGGCCGCCGCGATGAGCATGTTGGTGGAAATGGTGCCGGAGGCCTCGGGCTGGCGGGCCATGGCCTCGACGGCGGAGCCGCCGATCTTGCCGATGCCCAGGCCGCCGCCGATGACGGCGAGGCCGGCGGCGAGGCCGGCGCCGATGCCCTTGCCCATGCCGGCGAAGTCCGCGACGGCGCCGGCGGCGCCCGCGGGGGCCGCGGAGGCGGTGGAGGTCATCAGGAGGGTGGCGGCACCGGCGAGGGCGCCGAACTTGATCATCTTGCTGAGGGTCATGGTCTGCTCCGAAATCGGAAAAAGTGGTTCGGGGGAACGGTCAATCGAGCCCGGATCGGTCACGACTCGGGCGGGTACGGTCGGTCGGTTGGATCACACGGCTGAAACGGGCACGGCGGCGTCGTCGACCATGGCGTGGCCGGAGGCGGGGTCGTCGTCGTAGTGCTCGGCTTCGGCGTGGTCGTCGTGGTGGTCGTGCGACATCTGCGCGATGAAGAGGGTGGTGAGGAACATGAAGATGAACGCCTGGAGGAAGGCGACGAAGAGCTCGAGGAACATGATCGCGACGCCCGAGAGGATCGAGACGAGCGCGATGGGCGTGCCGCCGACGAGGCCCAGCGAGCCGAAGCCCTTGAGCGTGAAGCCGATGAGCACCGCGAGGAGCACGTGGCCGGCGGTCATGTTGGCGAACAGACGCAGGGCGAGGGCGAAGGGCTTGACGAAGGTGCCCATGAGCTCGACCGGCACCATGATCGGCGCGAGGTAGAGCGGGCCGCCGCCCAGGAAGTGGTGCGCCCAGCCCTTGACGCCGATCTTCCGGAACGAGTTGATGTGCCAGAGGATGAAGGCGATGACGGCGAGGCCGCCCGTGACGGCGAGGCGCCCGGTGGCGGTGCCGCCGACGACGGCGAAGCCGGGATCGTCGAGGAAAAGCGCGCCGAAGAAGTGCTGGAGGTCCAGCAGGGGCACGAGGCCCATGAGGTTGTTGATCAGGATGAAGAAGAAGAGCGTGAGGAGGAAGGGCGTGAAGGTGTTGGCCTGCTTGCCGAGCTGCGGGCGGATGACGGTGTCGCGCAGGTAGAGGACGATGACCTCGAACATCTGCGCGAAGCGACCCTTGGTGATGTAGCGCTCGTTGCCCTCGGACTCGTCGCCCGTGCCGATGCGCCCCGCGAAGCCGCTCAGGATCACGACGAGGGCGACCGCGAGGAGCGCCATCGTGAGGGTGTTCATCGTGATGACGTCGCCGAGGAGCGGCTTGTCGAGCACGTGCCCGAGCGGGTTGTCGCCGGCGGCGAGGGTGATGATGTGTCCGAAAGTCATCTGCTCGGCTTTCCTCGAAAAAGTCAGAAGGCAGGGCGGGCTCGGACCCTCTCGGGACCGGAGCCGGAACACCCGCGCGAAGACGGGCATTGTGACGGAATCTCACTCGCTTTGCGAGCCGGCGGCGGCGCGGCCGTAGGCCTTCGCAAACACGATCCACACTGTGATGAACACCACCGCGGCGACCGGCAACGCGGCCATCCGGCTGGGCTGGGTCGCGGAGTATAGCAACGCCAGCGCGATCGTCGCGGTGATGGGGAGAGAAATCGCCTGGGCCGCGAAGAGAAGTCCGTGCCACGACGCCACTGGACGGTGTTTGGTCGGGCCGATCATCAGGAGCCCCGCGATCGAGGCGACGAGCGAGGCGACCCCGCCCATGGCCACGCCGATGACCGCGTCGGTCCCGAAGAGCACCGCGACGCCGCCGCCGACGAGGAGGACGATGCTGAACGCGACGAGGGCGCGCCCGATCATCCGCCCGACGGGGAGGGCGATCTCCCGCTCCTGCGCGGGGGGCGGAGGCGTCGGGTCTGTCGCTGGGGATGGGGTCGGATCACTCATTCGGCGGGACTTTCGGCGGTTTTTCGGTGGCGGGCGGCCTGGCGTGCTTCGCCCTGTAGATGGCGTCCTGGCGCTTGGCGTAGGTCCGAGCGCGTTTCAGAAAGTTGTACCCGCCCCCGATGATGCCCATCACCGCGAAGACGATGGTCCACGTCTTGCCGGTGTTCGCCCACTGGTCGATGAGCCAGCCGAGGAAGCCCATGCCGATGATGGAGCCGGCGAACTCGAGCCCCATCCCGCTCATGACCATCAGCTGGGATCGCTCGTCCTGGGTGTTCTTATCGTTCATGGGCGAGAATCCTCGCGAATCGACGAGATCGTGCGTCCGATCGCCTAGGCTACCTCGAACAGACCTCTGGGAGGCCCGGCCGGCGGGCCGGGATCGGCCCTTTCATGCATATCTTTCTCCTCTATGCCGTGATCGTCTGGTACCTCGCGTTCCGGTACCGGCGTCGGTGGCGTGCCGCGATCGTGCTCGCGATCGGCGTTCCGCTGGTGCCGTTCGTGCTGCGGCTGTACTACCTGATCTTCACGGGCCACTTCTTCACGTCCGAGGCGTTGATGATGGACCTCGTGACGATGGCGTACGCGGGCACGCTGCTGCTCGTCGGGGCGTTCCTGGCCCTGATCCCGCTGGAGCACGCCTCGTTCCCGTGCAAATACTGCCGGTACGACCTGATCGGGAACATCACGGGCCGGTGCCCGGAGTGCGGCTCGGAGATCCCCCACTCCATGCAGGTGTCGATCGCGGACGAGCTGGAGCACAACCCGCGTCCGACCGGCGACGAGCTTCAGCCGCTCGCCTGATCCGCCGGCGTCTCGTCCTTCTTCCCGCCGAACATCGAGAGCCCGACGGTCAGACCGAAGCCGCCCAGGATGAGGGCGACCGCGCCCGCGCCCTGGGCTGGTGTGGGCGTGAAGAACTCGAGGGGCCAGTCGTCCGGCTCGATCTCGGCGAGGGTCTCTTCGGTCACAACCTGGCCCTTGATCACGTCCCCCACCGACGGCGGGGCGCCCTGCTGGAAGGGCCAGAGGCCGACGACCGCGCCGAAGAGGAGGCCCAGCAGCGCGCCGAGGGTGGCTTTTTCGTAGCGGTTAAGCAGCCACTTCAGCGCATTCGCCACGACGACGACGCCGACGACCACGCCGACGCCGACGGGGATGACGACGCCCATCTCCGCGAGCACCGCGTCGAAATCGCGCGCCGACAGGGCGTCCTTGAGCCTGGAAATGGAGGCGAGGATGGGGACGTACTGCCCGAGCAGGAGCAGGAGGTAGCCGCCGGAGACGCCCGGGAGGATCATCGCGCTCGCGCCCGCGACGCCCGCGAGGGCGAGCATCAGCGCGTTGGATTCCTCGCCGGACGCCTCGCCGGTCCCGGCGAAAGCCATGACCGCCATCAGCGCGAAGGCGACGAGGCCGGCGACGATCGTCCCCGCCGTCGCGGGGCGAACCAGCTTCCACACGAGGGGCACACCGCCCAGCGTGAGGCCGATGAAGAGCGAGTACATGATCCAGCGCTGGTTGACGACGAGGTCTTTCACCGGGCCGGCGAGCAGAACGATTCCCAGCCCTGCGCTGAGCACCACCGCGCCGAGCGCGACGAGCGAGCGGAAGCGGAACTTGAAGGTCGTCACCTCCGCGATGGCGGTGATGAAGCGCTGGTAGACGCCCGCGGCGAGGAGCATCGTCCCGCCGGAGACGCCGGGGACGAGGTTCGCGAGGCCCATGAGGACGCCGGCGATGAGGGACCGCACCGCGAGGACGGGGATCGGCCAGTTCTCGGACGGGTCGTGGGTGTTCGGTTCGCTCGTCATGGTGTTCCTCGGGGTGGGGCGGTGAAGGATACCGGGGCGCGAACCGATGGAGGCCCGGCGCAGTACCATCGGCCGAGCGGACCACGAATCTTCCGAGGAGACACGAGATGAACATCCTGGTCACCGGCGGTGCGGGCTACATCGGCTCTCACGCCGTCAAACGCCTGCTCACCGACGGGCACAACGTCACCGTCTACGACAACCTCGACCGGGGGCACCGGGAGGCCGTGGCGGCGCTGAGGACCCTCTCGGGCGGGGGCGAGCTGGATTTCGTCGAGGCGGACATCAACGACGAGGAAAAGCTCCACGTCGTGATGAGCGAGCACGCGATCGACACGGTGATGCACTTCGCGGCCCTGGCGTACGTGGGCGAGTCCGTCACGGACCCCTTGCGCTACTTCTACAACAACACCTCCGGCGCCCTGGCGCTGCTCCGCGCGTGCGACGCGCAGCACGTCAAGCGGTTCATCTTCTCCTCGACGTGCGCGACGTACGGCGAGCCGCCGGCGGAGAACATCCCCATCGCCGAGACCTGCCCGCAGTCGCCGATCAACCCGTACGGGTGGTCCAAGCTGTTCGTCGAGCGGATCCTGAAGGACTACGCGGCGGGCAAGCGTGCGCAGGGGGACAACACCTTCAGCTACGCCGCGCTGCGGTACTTCAACGTCGCGGGGAGCGACCCGGACGGTCTGATCGGCGAGGACCACACGCCCGAGACGCACCTGATCCCCGTCATCCTGCTCGCCGCGCTGGGCAAGCGGGACGCGATCACGATCTTCGGGACGGATTACGACACGCCGGACGGGACGTGCATCCGCGACTACGTGCACGTGAACGACCTCGTCGACGCGCACGTGACCGTGATGGACGCGCTGGAGCCGGGGGACGAGCGGATCTACAACCTGGGCATCGGCAACGGCTACTCGGTGCGCCAGATCATCGACGCGGCCAAGACGGTGACGGGCATCGACTTCAAGGTGGTCGAGGGCGAGCGCCGCGCGGGCGATCCGCCGCAGCTCTACGCCGACCCGAGCAAGATCAAAGCCGAACTCGGCTGGTCCGCGAAGCACACGGACGTGAACGAGATCATCGAGCATGCGTGGGGGTGGTTCAAGGAGCACCCGGAGGGGTACTAAGTCGGGATTACGGGAATACGGGATTGCGCCAATTCGGGGTTCGCGCCCGAAACCTCAATCCCGGAATGGCGAAATCCCGGATTGCCGAAATCCCCCCTACTCCGGCTCCCCGCCCTGCTCCTTCTTCTCTTCCACCGGCTGCGGGTTGTTGAACTTCTCCATCATCTCCGGCGTGGGCGGGATGTTGTTCGCCATCATCTCGAAGAGCTTCTCGATGTCCTCGGGCGAGGCGGTGATGGACGCCGGGTCGCCGGTCGGCCTGGTGGTCGCGTCGGCGACCTGGGGGTCGGCGTTCGGCGCGTTGATCTGCTTCATCGCGTCGACAACGGCCGCGGTGCGCGCTTCGCGCTCGGGGTCCATCGCCTCGGCGGCGGCGATCATCGCGTCCACCTCCGCGGGGTCGAGGCCCTCGCGGATGAGCGAGGCGCGGAGCTCGTCCATCGAGATCTGCTGCACGACGGGCACGCTCGTCGCGGGGTCGAAGAGCCGGTTGGAGACGACGTCCTGCGGCGCGAGGGCGATCGTGCGCTCGCGGAGGTTGAGCCACACCGTCTCGCCGTTGCGCGACAGGGCGACGCGGTCGAGGTCCAGATCAATATGCTCGACGCGCCAGGGCGACGCGGCCGTCTTCTGTTCGGTGAACTCCTCGCCGATCGTGAACGGCGTTGAGTAACCCGGTTTCTCCTCGTGCTTGCGCACGATCATGGCGTGGGGCACGCCGCGGGCGTCCGTGTAGAGACCGCGGAGGCCCAGGTTCTCCAGCGCGAGCTGCATCGCGTCGGACGCGTCGCCCTTCTCGGCGACGTTGAGCACCTCGCCGCGCTCGTTGACGACGCGCGAGTCCGTCGCGGTCGTCGTGATGGGCGAGGGGGTCGGCTCGGTCTCGGCTTCGGTGTCTTCGGATTGCGCAACAGCCGTCGGGCGGTCGCGCCACTCGCCGCGACCGTGGGCGAAGTGGTTCTGCGAGGTCAGCTCGGCGAGCGCGGCGCGCCGGGCGGCGAAGTCGAGCGAGTCCAGATCGACGCTCGGGACGTCCGCGACGGGCGGGAGCGGCTCGGCCTGCGCCGACGCGAGCGGGCGCACCGCGCTGAACGCGAGCCACGCGAGCGCGAGGAGCAGCGCGGCCGTCGCGACGAGCAGGTAGACGGAGACGGCGTCGCGACCGTTGGGCGCGGCCGGGGCGAGGCGCGAGAGGCGGAGGCGCGTGTCGCTCATGACCCGGCCCCCCTGCTCGCCGCGTCGGTGATCAGCGCGATCGCCTCGACGGTGACGGAGACCTTGAGCGTGCCCGCGAGCTGGGCGGTGCCCGGGCCGTCGAGCGCGACGTCGGTGACGCGGGCGATCATGGACGGGTCGGTCTCGATGCGGTCGATGAGCTCGAACGCGCCGGTCCACGAGGGGGTCGTGAGCTGCAGGTTGGTGCGGACGACGCGGAGCGGGCCGGGGTCCTCGCCCGCGGGCAGCGCGATGGCGCGCGTGTCGGGCCTGGGCAGGCCCGCGGCCTGCGCGGTGGCGACGAGGCGCTCGCGGAGCGCGCCCTCGGCGATCTCCACGCTCTGCGCAACGATGAGGCGGTCCGCGACGTCGCGCCACGATTCCTTCACGCCCTCGCTCGCGCGACGCCACGCGTCCGCCTGATCGACGAGGGCGCGCTGGCGCTCGAGGAGCGAGGCCTTGCGGGCGTAGTCCGAGGCGAGGGAGGTCTCGTCGCCTGACGCGTCGCCGGCACCGGCGCTCGGCGCGAGGCGGTCGAGCGCCACAAGAATCGCGAGGACGGCGAGCACGCCGATGAGGAGTTTGCGTCGCCCGTTCACGGCGTGCCCCCGTTCTGCCGGGTTGAGGCGCGGCGGGCCTGCAGGCTGAACATCTCCAGGTCGCGCGGGGTGCGGGAGACGCCGCCGGTCTGGCGGGCGCTCTCGAACGCCTCGGTGTTCTCGAGCGACTGGAGCACCGCGAGCGACGTGGCGCTCTCGCCGGCGATGGAGACGCGTGTCGGCGTCAGCTCCACGCGGTGCACGAAGCCGTCTTCCGGGACCACCGCGAGCGCCTCGCGGAGCTCGGGGAGCACGCTCGACCAGTCTTCCGTCGATGTGTTGATCGATTCGAGCCACGCCGCCTGGCGCGTCGTCTCGGCGCGGAGCCGCTGGACGGCGTCGACGTCGTCCGAGATCGAGACCATCTCGCGCTCGACCCGGTCGATCCCCGCGCGGTAGCGCGCGTCGGTGAGCCAGGACGAGGCCGCCAATCCCGCGAGCACGAGCAGCGTGATCCCCGCGGCGAGGGGGAGTCGGCGGTCGAGCTTCGGCTTGCCCGCGCCGTCGAGCGAGCGGTATTGAACGCCGGGGACGAAGGGCAGGAGGCACGCGGCGACGGCGAGCTCGTCCGGGCTCACGCGCCTCGCGCGTTGCGGCAGGCCCTCGGCGCTGCCGATGAATCGGAGGCCCGCGCCGCCCGTCTCATCGTCGAAGGGCTCGGCGACGCGCTCGGGCTTGCCCCAGCGGAGGGTGGTCGCGAGGTCGCCGGCGTCGCGCTCCAGGACGGTGGCGCGCTCCTCGTGCTGGAGGCCCAGCGCCGGGAGGCACATGGTGCTGGAGAGGACCTCGCGGACGGGCGCGCCGAAGAGGGACGCGACGCGCTCGCGCAGGTCGTCGATCGGGGCGCGGGGGGCGACGAACATCGCGCCGCGTGACGCGTCCGTGCCGTCCGGCGTGAACTCGAGCAGGCCGGTGAGCGCCTCGCGCGCCGAGAAGGGGAAGTACGCCTCGACCAGCTCGTCGCGTGCTTCGCCCGACGCGGCCCAGTTCTTGGCGGTGATCGGCACGGGACGCGAGGCGCAGAGCGAGGCGGGCACGACGAGCACGAGCTCGCCGGTCGCCCGCGAGGCGATCGATTGCGCATCGGCGCGGAGGGCGGTGAGCGGCGCCGTCGCGAAGTTCTCGATCACGCCGAGCGGGCGCGAGGCCGCGCCGGTGAGCGTCGAGCGGACGCTCACGACGCGGAGCGCGTCGCCGTCGACGAGCAGCGCGGTGCGGCTGAATGGGAGGAGGTTGATCATGGGGTGGGTCGCTCCGTCGCCTGATCGTAGAGGGGCAGGAGGGTGATGGCGCGGACGCTCGCATCATTCAGCAGCGCGTACCCCTCGAACACGCGTGAAGCCTCGTCCTGCATCACCACCCGCAGGCGGACGAGGTTCGTCGGGCGGGTCCGCAGGAAGGGCAGGGCGATCTGCGCGCTGGGCGGGGCCATCGCGCGGAGCTCCTCCTCCGTGATGGGCCGAAAAGCCCGCGTCTCGAGGATGCGCGACGCGAAACCGACGCTCATGCCGTCGACGCTCGCGAGCACCTCGAGCGGCGCCGAGTTCACGTGCACGCCGTTGCCCTCGAGGATCACGTCGCGCCGGATCTTCGCGTAGACCTCGCGCGTCATCGAGGGCAGGTAGAGCAGCTGCTCCAGCGCGGTGAAGCGGGCGTTGGCGATCTCGATGCCCGAGCCGGCGTAGTTGTCGCGCTCGGCGCCGAGCGGGCGGACGAAATCGTCGTCGTCGCGCCAGTCGAGGATCTGCTGGGCGATCGCCTGGGCGCGCCCGCCGTCCACGCCCTTGAGCGTGAGGTAGGTCGTGAGCTGGGATTCTTCCGCGGCGTTGAGGTCGAGCAGGCCGACGGCGTCGGCGAACTCGACGGTGTACGTCGCGTCGTCGCCCGGGACCGTGACCCCGACCGGGTGCGGCGGGAGGCCGAAGCGTTCGAGCTGGCGGAGGCCGATGCCCAGGCCCCGGTCGATCCCGGACGCGGTCGCGTCCGCGCCGAGTCCGCCGTTGCGCTCGTCGAGCTGCTCGCGCCGCTCGTCGCGCTCCTCCTCTTCCTTCTCCACGTCCTCGAGTGCGCCCTGGAGGAGCTCTTTGACGATGGCCGGGAGCTCGAGTTCGTTCTCGTCGATGGGCACGGGGTTGCTCGGGGTGCGCGGAGGTCCGCCCCCGCCGCCCCCGTCGGTTTCCCGCTCGCGGTCCGACGCGCCCTCTTCGAACCCGGCGGCGGGCGTGAGCAGGCCGGTGAGCGCGACGACCACGGCGCTGCGCGCGCGACGCTGGGCGTCGGCGCGCTCGATCGCGGCCGACGCCTCCGTCAGGTTGGCGCGCATCGTCAGGCTCGCCTGCGTCGCCAGCGCGAACGCGCCGGCCGCGGCGATGAGGACGAGCATCAGCGCGAATCCCTGGTCACGAACACGCACGTGAACGGCTCCTTTCCGCGCTGGCCCGCGAGGCGCACCGCGCGGGGCGTCTCCGGGATCTCTTCGTCGTACACGCGCCACCTCGGGAGGCGCTGCTCGGCGAGCACGTCCGGCGACGCGAGCTCGTGCTCGGTCGTCGGCCCGCGGTCCGCGTCGAGCGAGGCCTCGTTCCGGATGATGATGCCCCCCACGCCGTGGCGTTCCCACGCGCCGACGTCGAGGCCCTCGAGGAGCGTCCACGTCTCGGCGGGGTTGTCGATGGCGTCGCGTTCGGCGCGCCGGAGCAGCTCGCGCTCGGCCTCGATGTCCTCGGGGTTTCGCCTCGGCCGCTGGCTCGACGCGCCCCCGGCTGACGCTTCCTCTTCCTGACGCTCCGGCGCGACGTAGCCGATGCGGCCCAGGGGCGTCTCTTCGAGGACGAGGTCGAACACGCGCTCGCCGCCCTCGGCGGGGCGCTCGACCCAGCGGTACGTGGCGCGCACGACGGGGAAGCCCTGCACGAGGAGCGGGCGGCTCGTCGCGAACGAGAGGTACTCGGGCGTCGTGACCAGGCCCTCGACCGAGCCGGAGATCGTGACGCGCCCGGCCCACTGGTCGCGCATCGCCTCGACGGCGCGCTGGAGGCGCATCGACGCCTGCAATCGGACGCCGTCCTCGGTCCACGAGCGGAGCTGCGCGCCCAGGGCGGCGAGGAGCACGGTCATCAGCGCGAGCACGGTGGTCGCGAGGAGCACCTCGAGAAGAGTGAAGGCGCGCCGGGATGTTCGGGGGCTTCGCTTCATCTCTCAGGCGTGCCAGTAGAACTCGCTCGTGCGTCCGTCGAAGGTCACGGTGTATTTCCAGAGCGAGATCTCGGGCGAGACGACCCGCCCGGACTCGACCATCGGGTTGTTGATCCGCTCGTACACGCGGACGATCTCGTACTCGCGCCCGAGGTGCTCGCCCTTCCAGGTGGTCGTGTTCTCGTCGCGGAGGCGCTCGCTCGCGTCGAGCGTGCCGGAGAGGAACATGCGGAAGAGCGACTCGCGCTCGCGCTCGCTCGCCTGGCGTGCCGCGAGGCGCTCGGACTGCGCGAGCGACTGGCCCCGGACGCTCAGCACCGAGACGATGACCGCGCCGAGCACGGCGAGCGCGATCACCGCTTCGAGGAGCGTGAACGCGTCCGGGCGGGATGGGCGACGGGGGGCGCGCATCAGCCGTCCGACCCGGGATCCTTCGGGGGCGTTGCCGGCTTCGTCGGGTCGGAGCCGGCGCTCTCGAGCATGCGGCGGATGATCGGCGGGATGTCCAGCTCGGGACGGGGCTCTTCGGGCTGCGCCTCGTCCACGGGGGCTTCGGGCCGCGGCTCGGCCGCCGGGGCGGGGAGCGGCGCCGGGAGTTCCGGCGTGACGGTGGCGTCGGCCGCGTCCGCGTCCTTGACGCGGTCGAAGAGGAAGCCCTGAGCGAGGTCCTCCTCCTGCTCGCCCAGCGCGTCGCGGAGGGCGTGGGTCGAGCGCATGAAGTCGCTCATGAACACGTCCGCCTCCTCGGGCGTGTCGGCGATGGTCGTGGTGATGGCGATGAGCAGCTCGGTGCGGTCCTGCATGCTCCGCTGGGTGCCGAAGGCGGCGCCGATGAGCGGCAGGTCGCCCAGCCCGGGGATGCTGTTCTTGGAGTCGGAGGAGTTGTCGATGATGATGCCGCCGATAAGGAAGGTCTGGCCGTGGCGGGTGAGGACCTCGGTCTGGAGGATGCGGGTGGTGAAGGAGGGGCCGAGGTCGCCTCGGTTGGGGCCGAGGTCGGCGATGTCGACCATGAGGCGGAGGCGGATCTCGCCGGATTCGTTGATGAAGGGCTGGGCCTCGACGGTGACGCCGGTGTCGCGCCGCTCGATGTTGTCGGTGACGTTGCCGCCGGAGGTGATGGTGTCGCCGGCGGGGATGGGCTCCTCGCCGCCGACCTGGATCTCGGCGATGCCGCCGCTGACCGCGGAGATGGTGGGCGAGGAGAGCAGGCGGGTGTCGGCGACGGCGTCGAGGGCCTCGATGACGGCGAAGCCGTCGCTCGCGGTGAAGATGAGGCTGCCGGTGGGGTTGAGAATGCCGCCCGGGGTGCCGATGAGGTCGAGGTCGCCGAAGCCCTCGCCGGAGTTGTTCGCGTCGGTCGCGTTGAGGAAGTACTCGACGCCGAAGGAGAAGTCGTCCGTCAGGCCGACCTCGGCGACGACGACGCGCATGTTCACCTGCTGCGGCGGGCGGTCGAGCTCGCGGAAGAGGGTGAGGATGTCCTCGTAGTCGCGCCGGGTGGCGTGGATGAGGATCTTGCGGGCGCCGGTCGAGCCGCCGAGCGCGCGTGGGGCGCTGCCGGTCGAGCCGGAGGCGAGGCTGGAGAGCCCGCCGCTGGGCGTGCTGGGCGCGAAGGGGACGAACCGGACGCCCTCGGGGTTGTCCTCGCCCTCGACGCGGTCGGGGAAGAAGTCGGTGAAGGCGCGGATGAGCGATTCCGCGGAGGTGTGCTGGGCGGTGTAGGTGAAACGGCTCCGGAGCGGGGCGTCGACGGGGCGGTCGACGAGGCGGATGAGGTTCTCCGCCTGGCGGGCGACGCTCTGGTCCTTCGCGACGATGAGCAGCTCGCGCCCGTTGGGCAGCGCGGCGAAGCTCACGAGCGGGTTGGCCCCGCCGGCGAGGCCGGAGACGTTGGCGAGGTTCGTGAGCGCCTGCTGGGCCTCGGTCGCCTCGGAGTGCGAGAGCTCGTAGAGCATGAGCTCGGTGTTCTCGAACGCGGGGACGTCCAGCGCAGAGATGACGCCGCTCATGCGCTTGAGCTGGCTCGCGGTGTCGACCATCACGAGGAGGTTGCCGGATGTGGAGAGCAGGGAGCCGGCGCTCATGAGCTCCTTGACCACGCTGCTGACGCTCTCGGGGTTGGCGTAGCGGAGCTTGCGGAGGCGGATCGCGGGCAGCTCGTTGCCGAGGAGCGGGTCGGCGAAGTAGATCGGCGCGGTGGGCGAGACCTTGCCGGCGCCCGCCCCGCTGCTCGCGGTGCGCGTGCGGATGATGTAGCGCCCGTCCTGCTCGGTGAGCGTGATGTCGTAGAGCGAGCAGAGGCCCGCGACGAAGCGCTCGAGCTCCTCGGTCGTGAGCTCCTCGTCGATCGAGAGGGTCACCTGGCCGCTGATCTGGGCGTTCATGACGTAGTCGCGCTCGAGGAAGTCCGTGATGAGCACGGCGAGGACCTCGCTGAGCGCGGCGCCCTCCGCCTCGTACCGCACGCGGACGACGCGCGACGCGGGGCCGTTGGCCTCGAACTCGGGGGCGCCCTCGGAGAGCTGCCGCGGCTGGCCGGTCATGGTGACGCGCTCGACGAGCCTCGGGCCGGCGGCCGGGGCGGCGTACATCGCGTCGGAGATGGCGAGCGCCTTGGTGATGGGGTTCTTCGAGGTGTCGTAGACCCGCGGCGCCTGGCGCGAGAGCGCGACGTTCGTCGGCATCATCCGGTTGTCGGCCTGCGGGTTCGCGGACTCGCACGAGGCGAGGGAGAGGGCGAGGCCCGCGAGGGCGACGGTGGCGGTCAGTTTCTTGGCGTTTGGCATCGTCCGCTCCTGCGCGCGGGTGGCGCGCGACTCGTTCACAGGGAACCCGCTTCGTTCATCGCGAGCATGCCCGCGATCAGGGAATACACGACCCACCCCACCGTCCCGCCCAGGAAGAGGATCACCCCGGGTTCCATCATCATCAGGAGGCGCTGCACGGTGCGCTGCGAGTGCGCCACGGAGAGCTCCGTCGCGCGGCGCAGCGCGCCGGTCAGGTCGCCGGTCTTCGTCCCGAGCGTCACCACCGCCGCGATCATGGGCGGGAGGACGTCCGTCTCTTTCAGCGCCTCGCCGAGGTCCTTGCCCTCGCGGACCATCGCCCGCGCCTTGTCGAGCCGCTCGCGGATCACGCGGTTGCCCATCGCGCCGGACGCCTGCTCGAGGCCGGTGATCAGGTCGCCGCCGCCCTCGAGCATCGTGGCCGTGAGGTCGCACGCGATCGCCGACTCCCGGTGCGCCACCAGCGCCCCGAGCACCGGCACGCGGAGGACGGACTCGGCGAGCTTGGTCTTCATCCCGTCGCTCAGCAGCTGATCCCGCAAGGCGATGGCGAGGACCGCGCCGATCACGGCGACGGGGACGACCCAGACGAGCGCGTCCGACGCGGCGAGGGTGAACCGCGTGCTGAGCGGCAGCTCCTGCCCGACGGACGCGAGCGTCTCGGCGAATTTCGGGATCACGTACGTCGAGAGCACCCAGAGCGAGACGATCGAGGCGCAGAGCAACACGATCGGGTACGCGAGCTTGCCCATGACGGAGCGCCGGATCTCCGAGGCGTTCTCGATCGAGCGGTCGACGAGGCCGACGGCGTGCTCGAGCCGACCGGAGGACTGCCCGGCGCGGAGCAGCGCGAGGTGCGCCGGCTTCGCGAGGCCTTCGATGGAGGCGACGGCGTCGGCGAACGACGAACCGGAGCGCAGCGCGTCGCGGAGGTCGGTGCACACGGCGCGGAGCCGCGCGTTCGGCGCGAGCTCGCCCATCGTCTGCACCGCCGCCTCGACGGGCACCTTGCCCTCGAGGAGCTGGCGGAGCGTCGCGAAGAACCACGCGCCGTCGGCGCGGCGCGGGGCGCTGCCCGCGAACATCGCGCGGAGCGCGTCGCTCAGCCGCACCGGCCGCGCCTCGATGAGCACGAGGCCCTGCGCGCGCAGCGTGTCGCGGAGCGTGCGCTCGTCGCTCGCTTTCGCCTGCCCCGAGACGGAGGACGAGCCCCCGCCCGCGAGCGGCACCGCGGTGTAGGAGAACTGCGTCATTGGTCACCCCCGGAACTTGCCCCGTGACCGAGCACGCGCGTCAGCTCCGCCTCGTCCGTCCGGCCCGCGTCGAGCAGGCGCTGCGCGCGGTCGCGCATCGATCGGAACCCCGATTCGACCAGCGCCCGGCGCACGTCCTGCTCCTGCGCGCCGGCGACGAGCGCGTCCTTGACCTTCTCGGTGACGCCCGAGTACTCCATCACCGCCTCGCGACCCTTGTACCCCAGCCCGTTGCACGCCTCGCACGACTCGCGCTTCTCGTGGTCGTTGCGGCACGACTCGCAGATGAGGCGCACGAGGCGCTGCGCCGTGATGCCCTCGACGGCCGCGTTGACAAGGTAGGGCTCGATGCCCATGTCCACCAAACGCACGAACGTGCTGGGCACGTCGTTGGTGTGGAGCGTGGAGAGCACCATGTGGCCGGTGAGCGACGCCTGGAAAGCGATCTCGGCCGTCTCCGCGTCGCGGATCTCGCCGATGAGGATGACGTCCGGGTCGTGGCGCAGGATGTGGCGCAGGGTGGTCGAGAAGTTGAGCCCGATGGCGCTGTTCACCTGGATCTGCGTGATGCCGTCCATCGAGTACTCGACGGGGTCCTCGACCGTCACGGTCTTGCGCTGCACCGTCGAGATCGCGCGGAGCAGCGCGTAGAGCGTGGTCGTCTTGCCCGAGCCGGTCGGGCCGGTGATGAGCAGGATCCCGTGGTCGCGCGACGCGGTCTCCTTGAGGAACCCGATGTCGCTCGCGTCGAAACCGAGGTCGTCCATCTCGATCGTCGCGAGCTTCTGGCGGTCCTGGATGCGGATCGCGGCGTCCTGCCCGTAGGTCGTGGGGACGATGCTCACGCGCATGTCCACCTGCCGCCCGCGGAAGCGCATCTGGATGCGCCCGTCCTGCGCGAGGCGGCGCTCGGCGATGTCCAGGTCCGACATGATCTTGATGCGGCAGAGCAGCGCCTCGTACATCGACGCGGCCGGCGCGGGGGCCTCGGCGAGCATCCCGTCCACGCGGTAGCGGAGGGAGACGCGCCGGTCGTAGCGCTCCAGGTGGATGTCCGACGCGCCGAGATCCAGCGCACGCTCGACGCACTGGTTGAAGAACCGGACGACGGGCGCGTCGCTCGCCATGTCGCGCAGGGCGGACAGCTCGCCCGCGACGTCCAGCCGGTCGTCCGTGGCGTGGTCCTCGAGCTCCTCGTCGTGCGCGTGCTCTTCCAGAAACGCGGACATCTGCTTGTGCGTCCCCACCGCGACCGGTACGCCGGCGAAGCGGGCGCCGAGGGCCTGAGCGGTGTGGTGGTCCGAGAGGTCGGCGACGACGAGCAGGCGGTCCGTCGGGGGCTCGCCCTCGGTGCGCGTCTCGAGCACGAGCACGCCGCTGGAGCGCATGAATTCCTGCGGGACGTCCGCGCTAAGCAGGCGCGTCTCGCCCTTGGGGTTCCAGCGCGGGAGCCCGAGCACGTCACCGAGGTGCTGGGCGATGGCCTCTTCGGTGAGCAGGCCCAGGTCGAGCAGGGCGCGGACGTCCGACGTGCCGTTCTGCTTGGCGACCTCGCGCGCGAGGCGCCAGTCCGCCTCGGTCAGCTCGCCGGACGCGAGCAGCCGATCGCGGAACGCGCCGGGCCGATAACCGGGCACGGGGGCGCGCCCCGCGGGCGCGCCGTTCGCGGTCTGGGCGGACGGCCGGGTCATGGGATCTCGAGCAGGTCCCGGTTGTTGAAGTCCGCGTTCTCGCCCTCGCCGCCGGGCTGACCGTCGGCGCCGTGGGAGTAGATGATGTACCCCCACGTCTCGTCGAGCTTGTAGTGGAACGGCCGGTTCCAGCCGTCGTTCGGGAGCGTGGCGCGGCTCAGGTACGGGCCCTTCGCGTCCTCGCCGGTCCCCTGCTTGGTGAGCAGGATCGCGAGGCCCTGGTCCTCCGTCGGGAGCGTGCCCACGTCGAACTTGTACTCGTCGACCGCGTTGGTCAGGAGCGAGAGCTGCGCCTTGGTGGTCTGGATCTTGGTGCCGCCCGCGCGCTGGAGCAGACGCGGGCCCACCAGGGCCGCGAGCAGGCCGATGATCGTCACGACCACGAGCAGCTCGAGCAGCGAGAAGCCGCCCCTCGGGGCAGCGAGGGCACGGCGTGCGCGCGCGGGGTGGGTGCTGGTCATGGATCGCCTCCTTGCTCTGTCTCGACCCGGGGCTCCGCTTCCGGGGGACTCGATACGGACCGCGGCTCCCCCGAGATGGGGTCGAACCGGATCAGGATGATTGTACCGCCCGAACCCTCGGATTGGACCGCGAATTCCCGCGTTGTGGCCCGCCCCGTGGGCAGGAACGCGAAGCTCGCGCTCGGGCCGGGCTTCTCCGCGCCGGGGGTATTCAGCTCGAGCGAAGCCCCGTCGCCCCCGAGCGTCCACGCGTGCGCCCGCGTGCCCTCGCTGGACGGCAGGAGCTCGAGTGTCCCCCCTTCGACTCGGAGCTCGACCGGCACCGTCGACCCCCCCCGCAGCGCCTCGGCGCGTCGAATCAGCAGACGGGCCGTCAGATCGGACGACGCACGCTCGATCGAGGCGCTCGACGACGCCCGGACGAGGCTCGAGACGCTCAACGCGGCCAGCACGCCGAGCATCGCGACGACGATGACCAGCTCGAGGAGCGTGAACCCCACTCGTGCGCGCGGAACCCTCACCCCGCATCGCCCTCTTCGGTCGATCCGTCCCCCGCGTCCTGGTCGATGGTCGTCGGACGCTCCACACCCGATTCCGGGCGGTCCATGCTGCGCATGCCGCGGATGATCGCCATCACGTCCTGCGTGCTGACGACGCCGTCGTCGTTGACGTCCGCGGCCTGGAGCTCTGACGCGGTGACGAAGCGGTCGCGGACCTGGGACGCGGCCCCGGAGCGTTCGGAGACGTTCGACGCGGCGATGGCTCGGATGACGACCTGGACGTCGAGGCGGTTGACGTCGCCGTCGCCGTTGACGTCGAGGCCGCGGTCCTCGCCGCCGCCTCCTCCGCCGTCACCCCCGCCGCCCCCACCCCCGCCGCTCCCGCCGCCGGCGCCCTCGGAGACGCGGACGTTGAATTCGCGCGTGGGCGTGAGGTCGAGGGGGAAGCCGGGGATGTTGGGCACGGCCTGGCCCTGGAAGGTGAGGTTGAACCGCTCGCCGCCGGCGGTCTCGACGCGGATGTTGTTGATGGTGAAGTTGGTGCTGGAATCGAAGAACCGGACCTCGACGCGCTCGCCGACGCGGGGGCCCTCGACGGCGCTGGTGTCGGGGTTGTCGCCGTTGAGGTTGAGTTCGAAGGTGGATCCCGAGCCGGAGGTGAAGGTAAAGCTGCCGATGAGCTGGTCGCCGAAGAAGGCGCCGAGCTGGTCGCCCGGCTGGATATCCGGCGCGCTCGTGCCCGGGAAAGCGACGCCGCCGATGCGCTCGCGGACGATCGCGGCGTTGACGTTGTCGAACTGCGCGCGGGCGTGCGGCGCGGCGATGAGCAGCGCGAGCGCGGCGAGGGCGATGCGGGCGAGGGGTGCGTGCATGGTCTTTCTCCCTGTGATCGCGTGCGGGATGGGCTCATCCTAGCACCGACGCGAGGGACTCCGATGGGTTTGGACGCGCCGGGGCGCCCTTTCGGTCGCGCCGGCGTTCAAAAAAGAAAACGGGGGCCCCGTGAAGGGCCCCCGTGCGGTTTCATTCACTCAACGATCTCGGGGAGATCAGTTGTTGGTGTGGATGATGATGGTGTCGCCGTCGGAGAGCTCGGTCAGGTCGTTGCCGGAGACCGGGCCGCCGGCCGGGGAGGCCGACGCGACTTCGACGTCGTTGTTGGAGGTGCGGTTGAAGAGGATGACGTAGTCGACGTCCGGGTTCGCGTTGAAGAAGTCGTCCATCGAGTCGAAGTCCTGCGTCACGGTGACGAAGGCCCAACCGCGGTTGGACGAAGAGTTCGGGAACTCGTTGTCGCTGCCGGTGAAGAGGCCGTCCTCGGACAGCGGGGCGCCGAACTGCGCGATGCCGTAGGTGTCCGTGACGAAGAGGCCGAAGCTGTAGCCGCCGACGATGGCGTTGACACCGTTGGTGCCGAGCTGGACGCCGGAGGAGGTGATGGTGAAGGGGAAGGAGGTGATGCAGTTGTTGTCGACGATGATGCTGTTGACCTCACCGGACTCGAAGACGCAGTCGCCGTCGTCTTCCCACCACACGAACTGGTCCTCGGGACCGGCCGGCGGAAGGAGAGAAGCGCCGACGCGGACGTCGTCCTCGGTCACGCCGTCCGGGAGAACCGGGACGGAGTTGGACGCGCGGGCGAAGCCGGAGGCGCGGGGGAAGCCGGCCAGGTTGTAGCCGGTGAAGACCTTGACGTTCCCGACGTTGTCGAGGTCCATGTTGAAGGTCGTGGCGCCGGAAGCCTCGCCAGCGGAGGTCTGGCTCAGGATCTCAGAAGAGAAGAGGATCGGGCCGGTGCCGTTGATGTTGTTCACCAGGGAAGAGGCGGGGTAGACCACGCCGTCCGGGGTGATGACGAGGATGATGATGGGGAGGTTCGCGGTCGCGAAGACGTTGGGGTCGTTGGAGATCCCGTCGTCGCTGTCGGTGGCCTCGAGGTTGGGCATGGAGACGTAGAGGCTGTAGCCGCCGGTGGTGTCCGTGACGACCGCCTTGGAGACGATCGGGGTGCCGCCGATGCAGTAGCCCTCTTCGAAGAGGCTCTCGAAGGTGCCGGAGCTCGAGCGGAGCACGTCGTAGCAGAGCTGGACGGAGCCGCTGGAGACCGAGCGGGTGGCCGAGCCGGAGCCGGCGCGACCGGAGAAGGAGATGCGGTCGAGGTTGGAAGCGTTCACATCCAGGTCGATCGAGTGGATCGAATCCAGGTCGGGAGCACCTTCGCCGAAATCTTCGTCGTCGAGGGAGTCACCGTTCTTCTCGACGAAGAACTTGGTGTTGGAGTAGATGTCCTGGCTGCGATCGTCGCAGAGCAGGTACATCCGCTCCTCGAGACCGAGGAGGAAGTTGGTGAAGTCTTCGAGGGAGCGCTGGATGATGTTGTCATTGTCGTCGGTGACGACTTCTTCCTGCTCGAGATCCTGACGGTCGTAGCGGAAAGTGACGCCGTCCTTGTCGGCGCGGATGGAGCGGACCGTGGGGACCGCGACCATGGCGCAGATCTGGGTGCCGACCGGGACCGGGGAACCGCCGAGGGTGATGTTGCCGTTGATGGCCATCACGAACGGGGTCTCGGTGATGAGGTCGGGCGTGGCGGGCTGCTTGGCGTCGAAGGAGGAGTCCTTGGCGCCGCCGGTGAGCAGCGGGTCGGCGTCGGAGCCGTCGTAGGTGATGGTGGCCGTCGAGGTCATCGACACGAGCTGGTCTTCGATCTCGAGGACCAGGATGTTGCCGTTGTCCGCGTCCTGCGTGAGGCTGGACGGGGTGAAGGAGAAGCCGGTGAACGAGAAGTTCGCGGCCTGAGCGGTCTGCTCGGCGGTGTCGTCGAGCAGGGTGCTGTCGATGGCGCCGTTGAGGACGATGAGCACCTGGTTGGCGAAATCGTCGTCGTCGGTGTCAACGAGGAAGGCGGACCAGCAGGTGACGCCGTTGACGTCGGTGGCGCGGGAGAGGAACGGATCGGTGCCGTCCATCAGCGTGCCGGAGCCGGTGAAGTTGTTGCCGGCGGTGTCGTCCATGTCCGCGGTCGCGGGGATGGTGAAGTCGTCGCCGGGCTCGTCGCCGATCGTGTTGTCGATGACGGTGACGGCGTTGGAGAAGTCGGGCGTCGTGAGCACCGCGTCGTCGCCGAAGACGGTGCTGGGGTTGCCGCCGACCGAGAGCAGGGTGTCGTCAACGGTGATGTTGGCGGCTTCCGCCGTGGAGGGCGGGGTCATGCTCTCGGAGAAGAAGAAGACAGCGCGGTTGGCGATGTCGTTGCCGGAGCCGTTGGCCGTGGGCTCGGCGAAGCACTGGACGTTGGAGTCCGTGAGGTTGGCGGTCGGGATGTTCTCCGAACCGAGGTGGAGGGACCAGGAGAGCACCGGGGCGGCGCGGTCCTCGTCGGCGTTGGTCGCCGCGAGGTCGGCCATCTCGTTGCCGTTGGCGTCCTCGAAGTCGCCGGTCGCCATGTCGTACGCGAGGTCGAAGACGTCCGCGTCGCCGGTGCCGGGGAGGTTGTCGCCGAAGATGTCCATGGAGAAGCCGGAAAGGATCACGGCGTTGTTGGTCTCGAGGGCCGAGGGGCCGTCGGAGGAGAGGTCCGGATCGACGGAGCCGATCGAGACGGTGAAGGTGTCGAGTTCCTCGTCCATGTCCATGTCGAACTCGAGCTCGATCGGATCGGGCAGCGCGCCGGTGTCGGCGTCGATCATGGAGAAGGGCTGCACCATCGCGGCGTCGAGCGCCTGGAGGGTGAGGCCGGCGGTGGAGGTGGAATCGGCGAGCTCCTCGTCCGCGATGCCGGCGACCGCGTCGAGGACGCCGTCACCGTCGAGGTCGTGGAAGGAGACCGCGATGATGGTCGGGGCGATGCAGTCACCGATGGTCGTGGTCTCGGACTCGGAGTCGTCGGCGCCGAGGTAGTCGGTGCCGAGGGTGGACATCGGCTGGGTGCCGTCGTCCTCGTTGGTCACGAGCTGGAAGACGTTCTGCGTCTCGTCGCCGTCCGCGTCGGCGTCGAAGGTGCCGATGTCGGTGGCGGTGTCGCCGTCGTCGTTGTTGCCGTTGGCGGCGACGCCGAGCGAGGCGTTGTTGGAGTCGACGTCGATCACGACGGTGGCGCCGGTGGCGTCCACGTCGGTGTCGACGGCGATGTTGGAGATGACAAAGCCACCGGCGCGGACGAGGTCCGTGGAGGCGTTGTTGAAGGTCTCGCCCATGAAGATCATGTTGTAGAAGTCGGTGTCACCCACGTTGCCCGCGTCAACGGGGAGGGTGAACGTGACGGCGAGGGCGTCGGTGACGTTGGCGCCGTTCGGGGAGACCTTCTGGAGCCACTTGACCGACTCGACCGCGAACTCGACGAGGGCCGTGATTTCGGCGCCGTCGGTGTCCGCGTTCGCGAGACGGCCGAAGCTGTCCTCGATGTCGGTGCCCGTCGCGCGGACGAAGTCGCCGACGTCCGGGATGTTCATCCCGGAGGTGTCGAAGTTGAAGGTGAGGGTCTGGTTGTCCGAGCCGCCGAGGACGGCGTTCGGGGTGCCGCCGTCGAGGGCGGAGGGGTTCGCGGCGCCGGCGAAGTCGGCGGCGTCGTCGATCTCGAGGTCGGCGGCGGTCACGTTCGCGACCACGGTGCCGTTGGTGTTGGTGCCGACGGGGCCGACGGGCACCGGGAACTCAAGGATGAGCGCGGTGTTGTCGGAGTCGTCGAAGGCGTTGGAGATGGCGAGGTCGCCATCGAGCACCACCGGGGACTCGTGCGTGCCGGCGGCGGTAAACATGCCGGTCGAGTTGTCGTAGGTGGTGGGGTTCTCGGTGGTCTGCGCGTCGTCACCGGCGTCGGTGAACGTGAACTGCAGGAACACCTCGCCGGAGGCGCCGGCCGCCGCGCGAGCGGCGGTGATGTTGGCCTCGAGCTGGGTCAGCGTCGCGGCCTGGATGAGGCTCAGGTCGACGTTGAAGCCGTCGTTGTCGGCGTCGGTGAGGGCGTCGCCGTAGGTGCCGTCCTCGTCGGTGTCGATGGCGTTGCCGTCGGCGCCGGCGCCGGTGCCGTCGTCAACGAGGAGCAGACCGCCGATGGCGGTCGGGCCCGTGGCGCCGTCACCCGGGATGAAGAACACCTGGACCATCGTGGTGATGGTGTCGGCGTCGCCGTCACCGGTGACGGTGATGTTGAACGCACCCTGGGTGCTCACGGTGGGGATCATGTCCAGGTTCGGCGCGTTGTAAGACGCGACGGGGGACTGACCGAACGCGGTCCCGGCGAGGCCGAGCACCGCGGTCGCGGTCATGGTTGTAGTCAGATTCCGACTCATTCCTCTGTTTCCTTTCATCTCTTTTGTTTGCTGCAGCTGAAAGAGATCAGTCAAACTCTTTGTGGGTTGTCCTGAGAGGGGCCCGCCGCTTGGTGTGGTTGGTGCGGGGTCGTGGGCTTCTCTCACATGTGTGGTTCAGGTTGATGCCTTGTTCAGTCGCCCGCGCCTCGGACTCCCGTGCACCCGGAGTCCGCGTCGTGGGTTGTGGCTTTCCGCTTTGACTCCGTGTCCTCCTTGCTTCGGGGTCCGGTGAGCCCGTGTGTTATCGGTCGGTGTTGAGCACCTTACGATTCTGTCCGGGACTCCGCAAAAATCCTCAACGACAACGCGAACCCCGAACCTCGGGGCATCTCGGATGCCTTTATCGGCCAGTGGGCCGATTCGGGCCAAACATTTGTGAACACTCACAAACTTCCGACGCCGTATTGTCACAGGTGTTCCGATCTCGGCATCATCGGAAACGATGATCTTTCTCCGCTGGGTCCTCCTCACGACCCCCACTTTCTCCCTGGCGGGGGGAACCGCCATCTCTCCGACGACCGGCGCGCGTCCCCTCCAGGGCCGCGGGCCGGCACATGTGTGCAATCTCTACAAGACCCGATAATCGTCGAAAGTCAAGCGATATCGGACGAATCGGGCCCGATCAGTTCTGACGCTTGGGTTGATCCGTGGTTCCACGGATGACGAGCGGATTCGAGATCGATTCCGCCCGGTAGCCCTCGAGCAGGTGCCCGGCGACGAGCCGGACGACATCGCTTTTGCTCGTCGTGCCCAATTTCTGATTCAGGCGCATGAGGTGCGTCCGCAGCGTCGGCAGGGCGATGCACAGGCGATCCGCGATTTCCTCGTTGCGTCCGCCCCCGCAGATCGCGTACACGACCTCACGCTCGCGGTCGGTCAGGGGGGCCAGAACCTCGTCCAGGTAGCTCTTCTCGGCGTCTGTGAGGCCCGCGGAGCCCGTTTGCTCCTTGAAGACGATCCCATCGACCGTCGAATCGCTCAGGCTCGGTTCGAGCTTGGGAGATTTCGATTGCGGGTGGGACTGGTCGGGATCGGGGATGTCGTTGGGCAAGGAAAGAAGCTCCGTGGTCGTCCGAGACGTCGGTCCCCTCTCTCTACACGGTACCGACGTATTCCCGATTCGCAAGCGGGGAATGCGACGGTTTCTGCGGTCTGGGGGGTTGCCAGCGGTGGTGCGGGCGTGCCGAGAACGGTCCCGCGTCCTCGGGGCGGATCCCCTCGCATCGGGCCTCCGGCGCGTCGATATCTCCCGCTGACGCGGCGATTTGCGCCGCCGCCCTCCGGAGGACCGCGCCGCCATGGACCTGCGCACCATTCTCGATCTCGCGCACGAGCGTGACGCGTCGGATATTCACCTGGTCACGGGCAACCCGCCCATGATCCGCATCCACACGGTGATGACACCGATCGGCGACGAGGTCATCGACGACGAGACCGGCTGGGCGCTGCTGCGCGAGATGGCGCCCGAGGGCGCGATGAAGCGCTTCAACGAGATCCAGGACACGGACTTCTCGTACTCGGTCGAGGAGATCGGCCGCTACCGCGTGAACGCCCACCTGCAGAAGGGGCGCGTGGGCATCGCGATGCGAACGATCAAATCGAGCGTCCCCGCGCTGGAATCGCTCAACCTCCCGCCGGTGATCACGCAGCTCACGCGCCTGCCGCGCGGGCTCATCCTCGTGACGGGCGACACCGGCTCGGGCAAATCGACAACACTCGCGGCGATGATCGACGCGCTGAACGCGCGGGACGAGAAGCACATCATCACCCTCGAGGACCCGGTCGAGTACACCTTCGAATCGCGCCGGTGCCTCGTCGAGCAGCGCGAGCTGGGCCAGGACATGCCGAGCTTCGCCTCCGCGCTCAAGCACGCGCTGCGTCAGGACCCGGACATCATCCTCGTCGGCGAGATGCGAGACCTGGAGACCACGGCGCTGGCGATGACCGCGGCCGAGACGGGCCACATCGTGCTCAGCACGCTCCACACGGTGAACGCGTCCCAGACGGTGGAGCGCATCATCGATATGTACCCGGCGAACCAGCAGAACCAGATCCGCGCGATGCTCGCGGGGACGCTCCAGGCGGTGATCTCGCAGGTGCTGTTCAAGCGTCAGGACGGCAAGGGCATGACGCCCGCGTGCGAGATCCTGCTGTGCACGCCCGCGGTGCGCAACCTGATCCGCGAGGCGCGGACGTTCGAGATCCCGAACGTCATCGAGACGAACAAGGCGATCGGCATGCAGTCGCTCGACGCGTCGATCGCCGAGCTCTACTTCAACGGGATGATCTCCCGCGAGGACGCCGTCGCGCACGCCGCGCACCCCGAGAAACTCCGCAAGGACCTCGCCGCCTAAGGACCCCGCCCCATGCCCAGCTACACCTACCAGGCCGTCTCGAACGAGGGCAAGCCCGTCACGGGCACGCTCAACGCGGCCAGCGCGCAGACGGCGTCCGAGGTGCTGCGCGCCAAGGGCCTGAAGGTGCAGTCCGTCCGCGCGACGGACGCCGGGAACTCGAATTCGATCTTCGGGCGGCTGAAACAGCTCAACTCCGGCAAGCCCACGGTCAAGCACGTGCTCGACTTCACGACGCAGCTCGCGGTGATGGTCCGCGCGGGCATCTCGCTCCGCGTGGCGCTCGAGGGCATCGCCGAGCAGACGGCGCACGCGCGGTTCAAGGCCGTGCTCCTCGCGCTGAAGGCGGACGTCGAGTCCGGCAAGCAGTTCTCCGAGGCGCTCACGCGCCACCCGCAACTCTTCGGCCCGCTCTACGTGAACATGGTCCGCGCGTCGGAGATGTCCGGCTCGTTCGGTTCCATGCTCGACCGCATCGCGGCCTACCTGCAGCAGCAGATCGAGACGCGGAAGATGGTCGTCGGCGCGATGATCTACCCGGGCGTGATCGCCTTCATGGCCGTCGGCGTCACGATCTTCCTGCTCACCTTCGTGCTGCCCGCCTTCGGCGGCGTGTTCGAGGGCAAGGAGGAGGCGCTGCCCTGGTCCACCAAGTTCCTCATGGGCCTCTCCGAGTGGATGGTCGGCAACTGGCCGATCGTCGCGGGCGGCGCCGCGGCGGGGCTCGTGGGCCTCGTGCTCGTGCTCAAGACGGAGCCGGGCAAGGTGGTGCTGGACAAGTTCAAGCTCGGGTTCCCGGTGGTGAAGGGGATGTTCCGGGCGCTGTACATCTCGCGCTCGCTGCAGACGATGGGCGAGCTGATCAACGCGGGCGTGCCCATGCTGGACACGATCGCGATCACGGGGGACATCTCCGGGTCGCGCGCGTACCGCAGCATGTGGCGCGACGTGCACGAGAACATCCGCCAGGGCCGCAAGATCGCGGGGACGCTCGCCGGGTGGCCGCTGCTGCCGCACGCGGTGGTGCAGATGATCGGCGCGGGCGAGGAGTCCGGCAAGCTGGGCGAGGTGCTCGACGAGGTCTCGGACTACTACGCGCGCCAGCTCAAGGACGCGATCAAGGCGGTTACCGGAATGATCGA